CCTTTTTATTCTCAGAATCACTGTAAAGCTGTGTAATTGTTTTCCTCGCGGTTCTATGTAAATTAGGTTCATCATCAACAAATGAAATACTTTTAAAAGGTTGAAACATTCAAATAATCGCATGAATGGTTCCCCTTTTTCAAAACACAACAGCTGCAGCCGGCAACATTCAAATGAAAGCCACATTAGGATGGCTATTTAAGCATGCGTGGCCTTAGAGGTTAGGAGAAGCCCCTGCGTTAAACAGTCTTGTAGACATCTGCCGCGGTTGGTTTTAAAGTGCTGACTGAAAGTGGCAGGGGAGGTTACTCAGATTAAATCTCTCATTAGGTCGGCTTTGTACAGGTGGCACTAATGTGTCAAGAGCCAGGTCTGAAACAATGTCTTCGTCTTACTGGGACTAATATGCCCCAGGAGAACCCACCCTCCTTTTACTGCCACTACTTTACACAGAGACTTAGTCACAATGAAGCATCTGGTGGCCTTTTCCTGTGCTTTTACATGGCTATTGTGTTGGCTGGGCTGTATGTATATGTGTTTGGGAGAATGGCAAAAAAAAAAAAAAAGATCGATTGATAAGGAAGCTTAGATAAAATTGCTGTGACATTTAGTCTCGTTTGGATCTTAGTTTGGTTTGAGAAATTTTGGCCAAAAAGTGTTTAAAGGACCTTTAAGATTTGTGTTTTGGTGGGTGGGCAAATGTGTGTGTGTGTGTGTGTGTGTGTGTAAAACCCCCCAGGAGTGGGAGGTCACTGGGGTCAAAATGATGAATTTTTATAGGCCTGTTCCCTGTGTTTCAGCCCTGTCTCTTTCTCTGCGCGCTGCACTGCCTCTCAAAGACAACCATGCAGGGCAATTTGTCCTGCGGGGCCCTGCAGAATGGGCCAGCAAAGAAGTTAAATACCAGGGGGGAACACACACACACACACACACATACACATAGAGAGAGACAAAACATACACATACATTCAGTTTCTCACACGTCCTGTTGTCCTAAATGATTTGTGGCCTGTCTATTATCCTTTCCGAGCGGACAAACGCTTTTGGCCATTTTCTGAAGGTGAAGCCAGAATGGCAGCTCTCAGTGAGCGCCATTGTTTTTGGAGAAGTTTCCCAGATGTTATAATGATAGAAGATAAATAGGGCGCATTATCACAACCTCACACTCCCTCTTTACCTCTTCAGGCTACTTTTTGGCGAGGGCGTGGCAACTACGGAGACCTCCTACCACGCACACACTGCAAGCAGCTCTCTGCTCTCACGTACCTCAATGAGTTCATGGGAAGGTTTTGAAGCATGTGTGTGTGTGTGTGTGTTGGGGGGACGCAGGTTAGGTTTACTAGGGTCGTGCACTGATCAACGGGTCATGCACCGGCTAAATTTGAGGAAGATGATTTTTTCCAATCTCACCTCTCCTCCATCTTGACTCCTCCGGACGCTGTGTGCACATGTGTCTGCATCAGTGATTGAATCCACGGCCTTTGAAAGCATTAAATTAGCCAGAGTCACTGAGAGTGTGAGAGGGGAGTGGATAAGTCTGGCTTGTGTCCAGTCAGATGGGGTTGGAGGGGGTCGCAGCTGATTTACTGGGTTTCTCGTGTAATAGCTGGCAGGAACACAGAAGGCCAGATTTGTTGTTGCCTACTTTGGATGCCCCCTTCTACCCTGCCCGGGCAGATGTCGCAATCATGCTTGCTGGACGGGTGTGATGAACGGTGGTAAGTGGGAGAAAAAGCCATCAGAGTGCTCAGCAATTCATGCTGAACCTGCCAGCCCCGCTGGCACACCTTAACTGAGCTGGCAGCCTCACTTTGCGTGGCAACGAGAGAATAATGGCACATTCTGACAATGCCACTGCCCCCGGCTGACACAAGGGGAGCCCCTGTCTCCTGCCGCTGGTAATGAAGAATGAATAGTTAGCTCATTGTCTCCTCATCCTCTGTGTCTCCCTGCACATGCTCTCATACTCACTCTCACTAATGGAGGTTTAATCACTGAGTTCTAAAAACACTCAGCGGGTTATTAAATTGGTGGAATGACTATTTATTGAACAGTGTGAATCATTACATGGGAGTGTGTTGAGGGCGGGACGAATAAATATATAAACTCCACAGTAGTTAGGATGATTTGTGCCTTGATTTGTTCCATGTCATGGTACAAATTTCTACTACTGGATCGCAACTAATGGACTGTGATTGTACTGAAGACATCTGATATCCTCTGACCACGTCTTAATGACCCGACCAGTACTGTACATTACAGACTGATCCAATACAAACAGCGCTGTGTAATAATCACACCTGTTTGGTTATCTGTTCCCCTGAAGAGAATCAATGAAAAAACCAGTGATATTTTATTATTTAAAACTAGATTAGTCAAACTCATCTCAGTTATTTTCAGTCCTGTCCTTGCAGCATTAGTTTCCTTCTCTGCATCTGGAGGTTTTCCATGTTAAGTAGCCAAGATTTCAGTGTTGATTTCAGGTTGGAATATTAAGCTCTGTTTGTTATTCTTGAATTAATGATTTTTTTAAGGTTTGCACAGGTTAAATAGATGGTTCAGATTAAATGCTTAACCACTGACTGAAAATCAATTGTCACATGGTAAAACATTTAAAAATAAAAACTGTGTTACTGTGCATCAGATTAAATGCTTAACCACTGACTGACTTGGACGGCTTCAAATGTGTTATGTCATATTTGGATGAAGGTATCACAGTTGACACAATAACACTCTATGTAGTAGACAAAAACGTTACTAATTCAATTTTATTCTCACTTTTTGGATTTGCAAATCTCTGTGTTTGATCTACATCGTCAGGCAGCGGTGGGATAATGTGGGTGGGTTGTGTTTAAAGTTAAAACCAGTGGATCACCTCCATCTGTTGGCAGCACCAATGACAGAAGGCCTGAATGCTTGTATATATCTGTGTGTCTTTGCTCTTTGAAGTGGGACAGATTGCTTTAACCTCATTTCTAAGGAGAGCAGCTGGAATAGAGAGCTCCTTTAAACAGCCGCTTCCTCCTTCGACAGTCATGAGATTATCCGCCATTGATGCACAAAGCCAGCGCCTTCCTCAGCAGCCTCCCATCCCAGCCCCCAGTCACTGGCCCTCTCTAAATGCTCTTTGATGACCTCTAACCCATAATGTACAGAAGTATTGTATAGTCACTGCAGGATCGGTGAAGGAGCCCCACGAGTCAGGACATCCCTCTAGCCTTAGTTGTTTTTTGTTTTTTTTCTGACAGCTGCTTGTTGATATTTTGTTATATTGCTAATACTCACATCCTAATTGACAAGCCTTTAATACTGGAGTAATTCATTTCCCCCCAAGTGAATTAGAGCGGCATAATTTGCATGGACTCTAAAGGGAGAGCTCTGTTCAGAAATTGTGTTCAATTACCTGGATTTAGTTGATGGCACAAAGAAGACATCACAGCCTAAATGACAGCATGGGGTTTACATTATAGCCCATATCAGTGTCAGAGATGCTGAGATTAGCAAGGACAGAGGCTTCACGTTGTGTTGCATATGGAGGATGTTTGTTCAAAGCAGACGACAGATGGGAAGATGTGATCAATCAGGTTCACTCGACCACCGCAACCTGCACTGACACACTGATTGGTCAATCAGTGAATCCATGAAAGGATCAATCAGACACTGGTAGGATCCAGTGGTGTGCTAAAAAAGGCTGGGAGCCCCAGTTATGTTAACAAGAGTTGGTGCTTAGAAAAAAACTATTATATGGCTTATATTATATAATATTTGTTACTTTTTAAATTGTTTTTTTTTTCTTAAAATTAAAGTTTGCAGCAACTTTTACAAATTCTTTCCAAGTATTAACATATTCTCTCACACCTTGGGACAGATACATGTGAGCTAGAATTCAGTAAAGATTGCGGGTTAACCAAAAGTGATGGCCGTGGTGATAGAGAGCAGGATGCTAACTGTTCTGTGTAGCTCAAAAGTGCAAAAAAAGTTGAGTTTTATTGCTGAAAACTGTCAGTCTCTAATCTCGCTAACCCCCTCCAAAAAGAATGTTGTGACTAGGTTTGAAAAGTGAAAAAGAAAAGGAAGAAGGCTCACAAGAAATACATATCTAAGTACATTTGGATCAGTGTTCATTTTAACCATTAAAAAGATGTTCATTTTTTATGTGACCATATACATGACCATATTTTGCAGAAATCTTTCTGTGGCCGTCTTCCCTTTCTGGGACAACAATGACTTTTTGACAGGGAAAGTATCTCTTGCCCTTCTCACTAGCTCCTTCTTTGGCCCATTCATTGCACAAAGCTGCTTAAGCGCACTTAAGCGCATTAGCATTTGGCTGCCAGGGGAGCATATTGACCCTGCATTTGGATGGCCTTAATGAGTGAAAGATGGAGCGATTTGTTAGGGCTTTAGAAAGTTGCTTTTAGGGAGGGGGTGAGCATGAAGGAATGGGGTTGGAGGCAGAGAGTAGGGACCGCAAGGAGTTGTTCCATTTTCTCTCAGGGCACAGTGTTTGTTCTAATCTGGTGTGAAGTTTCTCCGTGTCCGAAGCCTGGACTGATTTGTGACATCTCAGTATAAAGGGCCTTTTGCTGGCTATATTGGCTTGACCTGATTATCTAATCTGTGCTTTGAATTTCAATCAGGTCAGCCGCTCTCTGCTGTGTGGTATGGGAACCGCTGGTTGAGGGATTACCTCATTCAACCATCTTCAAACACAGATGGTCGAATGTTTAACTAATTGTTAAAAGAGTCTACAAAGAGGAATTTAACCGTGCACACAGTCCATGGGCTCAGTGAATAGATCCAGATAAAGTGAAGAGTAAGTGGTGCTGATAGTTTCTAACACAATACATTAAAGATATTAGCACCTGGAAGAGCAAGGATATGTAATTGTAAATATCCGTGCTAAATGATACATGTACTGTACATTCAAACCTCCCAATTCTTGTATTTATTTTTATTCTGATGGCCATAACTAAAACTGTGATTCTTCTTACTTTCAGAGTCTGTGCTCCACTGCCACCATGCAGACAGTCAGAGCTGCTGACACTAATGAAGTTGACAAACTAATATTTCGAGAAAGCGATAATGATAGAAAGGTGAGTGGTACTGTGATGAAGCCGCCCCTTAAAGTTTATGGTATGTCATATCTGTGTTACATGTCTGCTTCTTGTTCTCCTCCTCCTCCTCCTCATTTTTTCTTTTGCAGGTTTAGTTAGCAGCACTGATAGCACTGTTTGAACATACTGTAGCTCCATCCAGCTTGGTTGACGCTGTCACAATCAAACAGTGTCGACATTAATATTTAGAAAACACCGTAATTAAAGTATGGCTTACAACTTATTGAACATTAAAATTGTAAAGCACGTATAATATCTTTCCTTAGATAACACTGTACTCAAAGAATATGGCTTACACTTTACTTAAAACATTACAATTAAAATAAATATAAATATATTTGTAACATTTTTTCATTTAGTGCAATGGCAATCCTGTTGAGCAACAACCACAGAAACACCTCATTCTGACTTATATTTGATCTGTATTCATAATGACCATTTAAACCAACATGTTGTTGCATCTTTCACTCTAAGCTGTCATATGGCTGAAGAGGTAATACAGAAATGCACATTTTAAAGGACACACAAACCCAACCAACCCCATAAAACCTCCGATTCTATAATTACTTCCTGCTCATTAATTGCCTATATTATAAAGACCTTAATTTGAGATGTTATTGGTTGTGTGAATGTGATGAAGTGGTCTAACTCCTCACACTAATCACTGTCTACTGTCTCCCACTGTGGAGTACTGTTTCCAATTAGAGTTCTAATTAAAAACTTAAGCTCACGTTAATGTTTGTATTAATCAAGGATGATATTTTTCTTCTTCTGTCTTTTGCTCAGGTTGTTCTTCAGCTTGAGAAGAAGCTTTTTAATTATGTCAACCAGGATGTTTTCCGGGAAAACAATGGGACCTCAGTAAGTCACCCCTCCGCTCCTTTGTCACCTTTGGATATTAATCTACTGCACATTTGTCTCCCTGCTCCTGTTTGTCAGACGTTTCATTCCTTACACCGTCTTTACAGACTTTGGTCACTGTACTGTACTTTCAAAACAAACGTGTCAAAATCAAGGCCCGCGGGCCAAATGCAGCCCACCAACATATCTTTAATTACCTTATAGTAAAAAAGGCTTCCAAATAATATCCTGATAACATTTTTTAATTATTATTTTTATTTGTAACTTGTATGGATAATAATCAATTGCAGAATCATTTATTACTGTGCTATAGAGTACTTCATTACTGCAGTCTTCCATTCATAACTGGTCCTTAATCTACCTAACTTCACGTCTTCAAACATTTTTGGACTGTTTTAGAAACTAATTTGAGGAAGAAGTGCTCTAGGATTCACTTTCTTTTTTTTTTTTTACAAAAAAAATATGAATCCATCTAACTTGATTATTAACTCCATCAGTAAGCACATTTCTTTGGTAACGTTCATTCCGCAAATTAAAAATAGGACTGATTGAAAAAATAGATTATTTAAAATATATTTTGTTACCAGATTATTATTATGAATCATTTTCCAGGCACCACCAAACGGTCGATATTTAACAGTTGACCTGAGATGGAGTTTGACATATGCAGCATATTATACGGTAAATGTCACTAAATCCGACCGGGAGAAATATGTGAAAACCCATATGTATAACAGTAACTGTTAAAGGCTGAAACATCCCCTCCTTTTTTTCTCCCTCTTGTCCTCCTCCTCCTCCTCCTAAGAAGTCAGACAAGATGGATGATATAATGGGGACATCAGAGATAATCTGATGGTCATGGTCTAGTTAAACACACCATGTTATGATCCTTATAAAACAAACTACCTTTTCAAAGGGATAAATGTTCCTTCTCATGCTCCTCCACTTGGGAAGGGGGGGGAAATCCATTGCATCCTTCATCAACTGTAGGACTTGTACCGGCTTGACAGAAATTTAATTCGAGGCAGCTCTTGAAAATAATTATTGTATTTTGAGAGGAGTAATCATTGCCCAGGACATGATTGAATGTGTCCATGCCTATTGACTTTTGCTATGATTAATAGGTTTGTTTAGTCGATATTCCCATCGAAATTGTATAATTAATTATCCCCAGTGCTGTCACGGCGGGACGATGGAGAGCCCTGATGAGTATTTGGGAAGATTAAATTTTCTGGGCTCTGGTGGCGTCAGGGGGCACCGCGGGGCCTTGCTCCAGTGGAGAGATGGGAGTAGCATGATTGTGTGTGTGCGTGCGTAAGTGCGCACACGAATGCTGGTGTGTGTGTGTTTGTGAGCACATGCGTACAGCACATGTTTTTGCACCGTGCATCTGCTAAGCTGCACATTTTCGTCTTTCCAGGACTGGGCTGTCCCTATTGATTTTGCTTCAGTATCTCTTTATTGTAATTCTATCAATGTGGCTTGGACAGACGGGGGCAGGAGGAGGGGGTGTGTTTGTGTACACGCTGCTGTAGGTGATGAACCTTTTACTTTTTATCTGGTTTGTCTGCTTCTCCTTATCATGCATGCAGCGTCATTCTCGGCAATACTCTAGAGATACTATATTATGTTATATAGATGGATATACGTATATAATGATACATACATGATACATTGAATTAATTGTCATAATTATATCTAACTTGTTGACCTTTTTGCTGCAATATAGAAAATGTAGTTCAATATAATATATTTTGCCGTATTAGAAAACATTAGTTTGTCAGGAAGACACATTTTTAGACCATTCATTTTAGCGTGTCTAATTCCCATCTGTTCAGTAAAGTAAAGAATGCTCATTCATCTAAATTATTATTATTATATAATTGCACTCATTGATATTCTCCTTCACCAGTGGCTCAGAGTTGAGATAACCCTGTCCTGCAGGGGGAACTGGTTTTTTATGATGGTTCCAATAAAGCGTCTTCATTTAATTTATTTCTTCTCTACATAGCATAAAATCATTAGGATTGGGATTAAATAGACACAAAAATAAAAAAGAACAAGTGTTTTCTGTTTGGTCCGTCTCTGTACAAGCCAGCCACCCCCACCTCTCAGTGACAGTTTATCGTTTTTCACAAAAACTAATGAAGATCCCATAAAAAGAAGAAAAATATGACCTTTGCAATGAAAGCCAAGTGTGAGGTGTAAAAATCAAATTAAATGACCTTTCACCTCCACATTTATTGATGGGTTTTAATGGCAGCCGGTGTTGTCACAGGAGATATTTGACAATGCATAAATCAAACCACAATTACAGTTGGTGGACATTTGGGCCGGCACACTAAGAGGGACAGTTAGGGCCCGGAGACCTCACATACCCCTTTTCTACCGCCTTGAAAAGAAATCACTGCTACTCAGATTTAGGACCAGGCTGATCATCCAGGCAGAGCCAGAAATGTGAGCTGATGACAGAGTAGTTTTGTACCAGGACACTTCTTCACCTGTTTCCCTTTGTAATAATACTTGGTGATAGAGCAGCAGCATCTCAGGCCACTTCCTCCCAACTCACAAGGTCGCTCTGTCTACTCCTGGACAGAGTCACGAGGCCTTGGACCAATATAATGTATAGTGTTTTTCTCCACGGCGGAACATTATGCCTAATTGACCCGGAATTAAATGTAGTGTAAAATTTGTGGCTGCAGGGTTTTTTCCTTTCAACTAAATGAATTACTCAACATTCACTTAACCCCTGCACACACTGGGTACACAGAGCCATATGTTGGTCATCCTCCACTGTTTAGACTGTCTAACACCCATTGTAATATGAGGTGATTTGCTCCAAACAAACACAATCACACCTGTGGACATCTACACAGATGCACATGCACTAGCTGGGTGTTGATTTAAGCACTTAGTACAACAATGACATGGTGAGTTTACACTCACTCATCCTTCAGTCGTCCATCACATTTGTCTTGCACATCTACTGCGTAGACACATTTACCTTTCGCAAAAAAACCTTTCCTGTCATCTGTCGTCTAAATGGGGCAAAAAACAAAGAAATGGCTGCTTTCACTCCCTAACCCAATTTTACATTGAGGTCACAGGGTCATATCCCCTTCTGATCTATACATTATGTACCTAGGATACTTTTTAGTCAGGTTCTGAATCAGGTTCTAATGCACACTCTCAAAGTAAACTAGAGTTACATTTGTCAGTGTAAGATAATAAAAGTCTTGCTTTTCCCTTTAGCTCTCATAAAAAACAAAGTCAGTTCCAAAACTAAATGTTAATTATTAGTGCACAAATCTATCAGCTCTCCAGAGACTTAATGCTGACAGACATTGGACCAAAAAACCTTAAGTGCCCTGTTAAATCTGCAGCGAGCCTGAGTAGAGACGTTGCCTGAAGGACAAACTCTGGGAACAAATGGCTCAGACTGACGTTCTATTACTTGTGAGCACCGCTGCTTTGACAACTATAGTATGAGCAGGACAAGTGATAAACATCTGACATCGACACCACTGACAGTCAGGACCTGGAGTTGGTAGTTGACAACATTACACCTCAGCACAATGAGTGAGCAGTGCACATTATTTTGGCTTTGATGAACTTTTTGCCTAGCCAGCAAGCCTGTGTGGGTCTTACATAGGTTTATCTCCATGGCTGCAGATTTAGCCCAATAATATTAGCATTAGCTGTACCAGTAATATAGTCTACAATTTGGCATCTCTGGGTTTTTTGGTCCATTCAATTCAATCACATTCACAGAAAGAAACATTGTGTAATTTATCATTGTAATATACGTTTATTTTAGTGTTAACCTCTACTGGCCAGCAGTGGTACTGCTTTCAAAAGTGCATCACTTCATTCAAGAGACTTGAAAGGGACATTTATATATAATAGACAGTCCATTATGGACCATACATGTGTAGTGCAATAAAAAAAACCATCATTAATTATTAGAAATTTTCAATAATGTACAACATCATACATAATCGATTTGTCAAGGTGTGCACTGTGTGTTATGGTTTTCAGCTACACAATCATTTATCAGATCAAAATTGCTCCGTAAACAATATTTATACTTACTCGGGCAAGCAAACACACAGGCACACACACACACACGCACACACACACACACACACACACACATATTAGAGGACGGTACAGGACGGTACCAGTGGGTGGATGGGGTACAGTGGAGCGTGGGGTTGCATCCCCTGCTCCACCATCCCTCATCCACAGTGTGTGAGTCTCTCCTGTGACCCTGGCGGTGTGAGTTTGATGAATGTGGCACATCTGCCCTCCTGAACCACCGAGACTCCGTCTGGGAGGCCCCTCTGCCTGCAAGTAATGGCCACTGTTCTACACCACTGACGCGTCGTCACACATCCACACAAACATGCAGAGTCAGAGCGACTTTGGCCGTTTACACGTGCGCTGAACAACTGTTCGGAGAAGGTGTTCTCACAGGCACCACATCGAGATTTCTTCAGCTTTTACAACAATAATGATTGAACACACACCTCCCTCCTCTGTTGTGGTCGGAGAACATCCTTCCAAACGTTTCCCACGTGTAACACACTGATATTTCATCATGTACCCGTCACTATATTGCGGCATGTAATACACCAATGAAACGTCATTAACATCAAGCTGCCTGACTCCAAGATGAGGTCTTCATCAGGCCTTAATTGTAGCCTGATGTTTGAAACGTGTACAATAGCCCAATTTACTTGTACTGAAGGTGTCTCAGCTCTGTCCTGATGTCTGAATGGAGTGGGCGGGGCTACGGGACGTCCGCTGGAGTTGCTGGGAAACGTCACTCGCAGTCTCTCAGTTACTCAGTCATGCAGGTGCCAGAGCTACCTGTTCATCTTCCAGATAATTAATGTGTACAAGGAGCCGCTAATTGCACTTCTCACTAATGATTTATAGCTTTTGTGAAAGGGGGGAAATCAAGGGAAGGGTGTGTGTACGCTCTTGTGAGGGAGTACAGCTGGGTGAGGAGACATGATTGATGAAGAGTGTGCCGATGCACTGCTAGTGTGGAGACACGGACCCCCAGTTGGACAGGGCTGGAGCAGCGGCTGTCGATTTTGGACCGTGTACAGATGTGACACAACAATGAGCTCAGATATCCTCATCAATTGTGTCTGGACTCATTAAAGCACACACTTTGACTGAGACCAACACCTTTGGTTACAGAAGATGACTAACTTCGGCGTGGTATCAGGTCCTGGTATTGAAGGGACTTAGGCACAGGACTTACAATTGATATCGTACCTTACTAAACAAGAAAAACTACAGAGAATATACTCACATTAACTTAACTGCTACAGGTGACTAATTTAACTAGTTAGAACATTGTACACCTATTCTTTTTCCCCTGATCATTTTTAGCCAATTCTGAAACGTCTGAAGTTAATATTTTAAAGATCCTTTTGGAGTTGAGTTGAATTTAATAAAGTCTGTGCAACAAGATACTGTGAATTGTATTTGACAGATTGAACTGAATAAACTCAGAACAACTTATAAACACAGCACAAACCGTATTGATTTATTTTCTTTCTTTTGTTCTTTCTGTAGCTTTTAGAGTTTGACAAGGAGCTGTCGGTGTTCAAGGATCGACTGCATGAGTTGGAGATTTCGTTCCCACCCAGGTATGAAAACCTTTCATTTTTTTTCATCTTAAAGCCAACATTAGTTTTCATTACTGTTTTATTTATCTTTGACTAAAAATTCTGGTTCCATCAAGTGGACTGGAATAAAAGAAAATAAAAAACCTATTTAGCGTTAAACCATAGCCTGGCATTGTGTTGACAAAAGCAGTGATTAAGATTGACGGATCTCCCTTTGTTGTCCGAAATGATCTCATGAAAGCTGTTTAAATTTGTGCTTGATGGGTATCACTTGTAAAAGCACAATTGGACACGGTCCCAAACTGCTCCCATGTGTATCAGTGTGTACGTGAATTGTTTGTGGACGCACATCGGCTTTGAGCGGGATTGGTATTCCGTGTCAGTGGGACATGGGGGAGATCACAGTGTGGTGGTCTCCTCTCCTCTTCCTCAAACAAATGCATTTGCAATTAGCCCTTTCTGAGGAGAGGGAGGGCAAACATGCAGCCGGCGTGAAAATATGTTTCGGGAGCAGCGCGTTAATGGTGCTTGACCTTTGCCGTCAGTTGTGACTCAATCAGTGCAGATAATGAAACGCTGTAATCAAACAATAATTACTTGATAAACTGCTCTTGTGGCAGGCGCAGGACTGTGGGGGATTCTAGAATGTGTATATGTGTGTGTGTGTGTATGTGTGTGTGTGTGTGTGTGTGTGTGTGTGAGGGAGACAGCAGAGGCTTGAAATACATAGCTAGAGCTATCAAAACGTGAGCTTGTGTGAGGAAGAGAGAGTGTGTGTGTCAAGGTTACTTTAGTCCCTGTTTTTTAAATGACTCTGTGTCTTAATCAGGGACCCCATTTACATCACTTTGCATAAGTGACAGGTGGATTTATTGTCCCTTTACACCGGCTGACTTTTGCACCTATCCATATAATAGTGAATCATCTCTCCACAGGGAGGAATGAATTTGCTACTATGGACCAATGCAAATGATTTTCACATACTTAAGATGACGATGAATCAAACAGATGGAGCCAAAGAGCAGCACATGAAATTTGATTTGATCTACTCTTGTGTGCGAAACAAACCACATTGTCCGCTTTGTAATGGGCTCCATTGGCTTAGTTAAACTTAAACAGTCCCCTCCTCCTACACACACAATCACATTCGCACATACATATAGTAGTGTCCCTCCCCCTGTCTGGTCTGCCTTGTGCTACTTGAGCAATCAAGCCTCAAGGATTGTTCTCCATCACATGGCCTACACTGGACCAGCCCCTTGCCATCTGTGGGGTTATTACTCCTTCTAATGCAGGCCAACAGAACACACCCTCACTGACACACACACACACACACAAGGATCGCTTTTGTTCAAATCTATAAATCAATGCTCACAAACATTTAATCTGCAAGTTAATCCAGACTGTTGTCCAGAGCTGGGTAACCACAAAACGAAGTGAGTGATAATAAAAAAAATACATGACCATTAAACATATTGCACCTTTATATGTCTATCAGGTGATTCTGGCTCATAGATCATTGTGTGTTTGGTGTGGACATTTAGGGTCACCAGACATGTATGTGTTTTCCTTTACATACAAACACATGAATCCTTCCTCTGTCGTTGCTGCGGAGGCCCCGAGCTGTGAAATGCATATCTCTCCACTTTCAAGAAGGCGTCTGTCAAAGCTGGCCGTAACAAGTCTAAGTACTCGGGCACCGGGGTGAGGAATTTGCCTGGGCCTTGTCACAGTCGGACCTGGAGCCAGTTGGCTGCCGCTCGCCCATCGGCCACAGTACAGCTTAAAACAGTGGTACGCAGAAGCCCATATATGGATTTTATATGTACGGCAGTGTTCTGTGAGAGGATAAACGAGTCTATGAATCACGAACCAATCATTGGTTCAGACACGGTTTTTATAGCAGACATAATGTATGAGAATCTAAGCAGCCATTACGTCTTTAGCTCCGCGAAAGCTGCAGCATGGCCATTTGACTGAAAATTATGGTAAGTTTTATGATGCATTATGGGACTTTTGATTTTTATATTTGAAATTGCATAACAAAGGTAATATCCCCTAAAACATACTACGGCAAACAGTAACTTATTCACGTATCGTGATTGATTTAGCGGAAAGCTTTTAGTACTCTCCTGATCTGATTTCTTTGGCCTTTTTCTGCTTAAGATCGATGCAAAAATTGAATCGTGCCCCCCCGGCTTTGAGAGGAAACGCACTGGACAATGAGGGGAGCACTGGAAGAATGTATTCTGCCTGTAACACAGTTACTGGGAAGGAGTTTCGAGGGAGATTTTGAGTGACATCAGACCAGCAGCACAACTCCATCGAAGGACAAATCATGAGTGATTTCATGGCAGCGACATGGTGTGGAAGTTATGTAGCAGCGGTGGGAGGAAAGAGCTCAGAGTAGAAGGAGCAGGAGGAGGAGGAGGAGGAGGAGGAGGGGATTAAAGGATGGCCGCTGTCTCATGTCGGAGTTTGTGAAAAAGAAGGAGATGAGCCAAGATCTGCATATAGAGATGGTAGTAAGAGCCTTACACGTTGCTGCTTACGCTTGTTCACCGATGTCTGAATGTGGATCCACGTGTGGGTGAAAAAATATGGAAATGAAGGTATCTTGTCTGTGATAAAAGTGTGGTCACAAAATGTGGCAGCTCCCATCCTTTAACAGCTGCCGTTACCAAATGGTTTCCACCAGCGTACGTTTATTCAATGAGTGATTTGGAAATCAGTGGGAAAAATGAGTTGTATTTATTCTACTTCTTAATCAAACCTTTAACAACACGTTGAATGAAGGAAAGGTGTCAGACCTGACAGGATGACTCTAGTCCTACAAATGCGTCAGGTCTAGACTGCAGTGGATTTGAGGCTGGTTCAGAGGTCATGGGGTGAGTCATCAAGGAGACAGAAACACAGATGGATGTAACACAATCTGACCAACACTTAATGTTACGTCTATATTGCCTGAGAGGTCATCTATGAGGCACAGTGCGTTGGTAGTGGTCCGTTAGGATATTAAACTTACGGCCCTCTTATTAGATCCATATAGTGAAGTTAATGTTGTAAACAGAGCAACCAGCATTCTCCTCCGTCAAAGACATGATCGGTCTTTGGCTTTACTGATATTACTGAAGCTGAATACTAGAAGCCTGTTATCAAAGCTACGATTTTTTTCTTTAAATAAATAAAAAATTAGTTAGTTTTTTGCTCCTCTCTCAGGCTAACTACAGCCTAACTTTGCCAGGTGTCTGGCCCGATGTGGTGAGTTTGTTTACAAGTTGAACTTTTTTGAATGCTGCAGATCTAAAAAGGTATTGTGTCTAGACTGAACCCTCATGAATCTTCGAGTACTTTGAGCTGGAGACCAGGAGCACAGCAGAGAGTTTTTAAAAGCAGATGCAGAATGACTTTGTCCTTCATGTGAGGAAAAAAAAATCTAAGTGACATAAATGGCCACCTGCCAGCTCCTCAATAACTGCTAATAAGTTCATACAAGTGAATAATTAGAGCGGTGGAGAAGTCCTCCTGAGCTCATTGGAAGTACCCACACAGATGGCTCTCCTGTGCACAGTGACTGCCCTTGTTCGGTGAACAACACCCTTACCAGAATGATGTCACTCTCTCTCTCTCTCTCTCGGCCTATATTGTGTTTTCCATATATTCCTCCTATAGTCTTACTGTTTGCGTCCTACTGCACATGAAGGAGGCTCCTTGTTCTCTGCATTGTGCTTCATAAACACCACTGTTCGCTCACGGCTTCGTGTCCGAGCCACCGCTAGCGTGTGGCCGGTGTCGGCCGGCCGCGTCCACTGGATCTAGAATTCCAGGCAGCGTCCACTGAAGGGTAACATTGTTTTACAACCACTGGCACATCTATCATTCTTACTATGTAAGAGCTTGTGGAAACGATGAGGGGCCATTGTGGCAGCGATTGCTGAAGATTGTCCTCTCGTGTGTTATTGACTTATCTGGAGATGATGCCAGTGAGTGGGAGGCTTTGTTTGAAAACCTCCTATTTAGAGGGAATCAATTGAATACCATCTGTGTCTTTTTGTGTTCATGTACAGCAGCTCAATGCAGACTATGTCATAGCTGAGGCCCAGCAGGCCATGAGCCATGAGCTATTGATGGCATTTCACTCTGTTTGTACTACACTATGCCAATGTTGTGCCTGTGAGCCTCCCCGCTCCACAAACTGGAGCCAAAGACCCAGCTTTATTGATAGCATTTGGGTGATCTTTTTGGATCTGTGTGTGTGTGTGTGTCTGTGTATTTGTGTGTGTTTGCCTGAATGTTTTTCAAAGCCTCCCCTGACAACAGCAAACAAACAGAGCTGCAAAGGCAGGAAGTCACTTGGAAAAACACCTTTTCTGACATTTAAGCCGATGCCACTCCGACAATCTGTGACGCATCCTTGCCCCACGCTGACTGCTTCAGCCTCAATTTGCTCCTTCATGGCCAATTTTATATTGGGCCAAATTAAATTTCTAATATGGAGCAACAATTTACAACCTATATTTGGCCAATGTACAAAACCACAAAATCTCATCCTACCTTCTCATTTTTTCTGTCTGGAATTGTTTGGTAAAAAGACACAAAAAAATCCCCCGTTACCTAAATAAAAAAACAAAAACATTAAAACATCATAAATTTGGTCATGTAATGAAGCCTGAAACTGGTCTATAATGCACTCTAAAATAGCCAGGACAAACCCAAGATTACCACTGGGGTAAGTCTTTTCTATAAAGATTTGTGCTCCTGTTCCGTGTTTACTTTTGTTGGCGTTCTTCTGTGTAATTCAGCAGAGGTCATTCTCAGCCCATGTTTAGCTGATGGGTAAGCTGTAGTTGCTTCATGGTCACACACATTTAGCAGCAGTTTCCACCATGGACCTCTTGCATTAGTGTCACTATTTTTTGCTCAATTGAAGTTGTACTTGTAATTTCACATTTGAGGTCATTTGCAGTACCAAATACCTCACATAGTTTAGTAAAGGTTGGTGAGCCAGGACTCAATGGGTGATCAGTGATTTAATACAAAAATACAGACTTTAGTTTGTGTGGTATCTGAGGAGAGGACTGGCGTTTCTAAGAATGGGGTTTTTGCTTCTTTGGAATGAAGCTGTAAAATACTAACAGTACCAATTCAGATGGAATGTCTGGCCAATATCTGGTTTATAGTAGAGCCTACGTTAGCGTTATAAAATGTTTTACTGTTTGAGTCTTTTTTTATTGTTCATTGTTTAAGTGTTTGTAGATATAGCGGCTTGTAAAATACTGCAGTGTTTATCTCAACAGCCTCTCCCTCCGTCGGGTGAGGCCGGGTGACACACTACAGGTACGGCGCGCTTTCACCTCGCCAGTTTTTACTGTAGCAAGACAAACAGGCTGACACTGAGCGGAAAACATATGAGCAATTTGTCAGCAGCCAAGTCAAACATTAAACCCGTATTCAAGCATGAATGAATGAGCTCTCAATGGCTGCTGGAGGGTCCAGCCTGTGACTGTACACACACACACACACTTATCATCTGAGATGTGGTCAGCAACACAAAGAGGCAGGAGGACAAATAGGTCAACAGTATCCTTGTGTCAGTTTCACAACAGAGGTAGTAGCTGTAAAATTCTATAAATGTCAGTGATAAACACAGAGACGGTGACTGGGTGAATATTTTAGTCTTTACAGTGTCAGCTCTGAGGTGATACTGTAAAGAACAGAAAAGACATACACACAGCAGGTGGACGTGCTGTGTGTATGTTTCACGCCTGGTTTTATTTGTCACTCGTGCAAATAATTTTTATGGAAATGTGCAAAATATGAAAAAGTATGGTTTATAACTTTATAAGATATTATGAGCCAATTAACCAAGTCTTGGTTCTGTGGTTTGGAGCTTTGTTCGCATTCCGATCATTTTTACTGATGACATTTGTCTGCGAATAAATACGTTGTAGTGCAGCTCAGTACGAGCTGTTCATGAGTGTAGTTCCTTCAGAGTGAAGCAGGTGTCTGATACCAGCTGACAGGCCACACGCCCTCTCAGACCATTTGCCTTTCACGATAAGTCAGTGAGTTGACTAATCCGACAGGTTAATCATTTTATGCTGTTCAGCTGTTTGCTGTTGCTGATGAACTAAGAATCAGGTTGTGTTTTTTTTTTTTTTTTCAGGCGAGTATCACAGTGAGCATTCACTGAACATTCAATGTTGTACTCGATCAAGTCTAGTTCATAAATGCTGTAAAATGTAAAAATGTAGAGCAGAAGAAAAGAATATTTCTAGAATAACTGAGGAATTAATATTCTTAAGATTATTTTTGAAGTTTTTATTTTTGCCAAACTTTTGTTTTCTTGTATGTTTGGACCATCATGAAATTATCATTATTGAAAAAATATATATAATACCATATGGATTCAAAACCAACTTTGAAATAATGTAGGAGTCTAATGATAAGATGTGACCCATTTAAAAGTCCAACAGAAAGTCTTTGTATTAACTTGCAACAGTATGTTCAGTATCTGTCAGATGTTTGTGTGTGTAGAAAAGCTCTCCCTTCCCAGTCGTTGGAGTTATCAGTACGACCCATTAATTACCGTAGTTCTTGTTGTAGATTGAAGCAGGTGTCTGACATTAGCTGACCACACACCCCTTCAGACCGTTTACCTTCCGAGATAAGTTTGTGAGTTGGCTAATCAGACACATTAATCATTTGGTGCCATTCAGCTGTTTGCTGTTGCATTAACACTTCTTATCTTTATTGGAGTCAATGGCAGGTGTGGCACAACAGAAGAACAGGGGAGAAACATGCATTCTCATGGATGCAGTATGCCTCTTTAATGGCCATCTTTGCACCATTTTAATCAGCATTTACAAAGACTGGCTGTCACCAGAGATGAGTGAACGATCGCAGTGTTTAGTGGCTGAAGTGCTTCGGGAAGTTTGCTATCAGCTGGGACTTCATTGTTTGAAGGAGGTGAGGGGGAAAAGTTGATTTTCTCTCCAACTCTTTAACACCAAAATGACCCCAGCTTGTTAGTCAATAAAGCTATAAGAGAGTGGCTGATAGGAGGACTGTTTCAGGCCCTGCACCGTCCCTCAGGAAGCAGCAGTATTCAGGCCACCCTGAAGTTGAGCAGCTCCACAGAGCCTTTGAAGGCTCTGCTCTCTTTCACCGTCACTTTGCTTCTTTCTGTCTGATCCATCTTTATCCCCTCTCTTCTGCCTCCCGCTCTATGTGTGTGTCACTCATCCTATTCTTAATGCCCTTCTTCATTCTCTTTTATCCCAGGATCACTTTGATTAGCATAGCAAAACCCCCATGCATTTCTCCCATGGTTTAAGTGCCATTAATGCTAATTGGAGGCAGGGAACTTCACTAAGTAGCTCTCAGCAGGTCTATTTGTTCACCCGGTGGGGAGGCAATGTGTGTGTGTGTGTGACTGTGTGTGACTGTGTGTGAGAGTTTCTGCCCCAGCCTTAACCCCATACACACCGACTGTCATCAGCATACTCACAGAGAGTGAGAATAAGGAACCATTTATTCCACAGTTTCCTCTTACAGTGAGGGCATGTGATGAAAGATCAGGTTGAATCCTTGATGTCTCTGCATCTTTGTAGAAATCTATGAAGAATGTTGATGTTTTATAGTTATATTTAATTTTGGGGTCACTGATACCTATACAAAATGTTTTACAGCTTTAATGTGTTCCTGGAAGTGGCTAGGTTTAAAATGAGGTATACTAAATGATATAAATTAACTAAAATGAAGTAAATAAAAAATGAGTAAAAATCTACAAAGTTAACTCATGAATATTTATGATCACATTTTGAGTTGATTTAATATAAGAAAATAAAAATAAAATATATAAATAATAGAAATCCAATGTTCTTACATTAAATTGTTATTATATAAATATAGATATATAGATTTTTTTTATCTTCCGTCACTGCTTATCTGTATAGTCCATATATCCTGAGGACACGTATCATTCTTTACTGTTACCACAGCTCGTCGGAGCAGTGGCGTAGCGGCAGCAGCCAGTGTTTGTTCAATCCTCAGAGAAAGCACTTTGTTCTATGCTACAGTTAGCACGTGTAGCACTGAAGGAGCAAATTGGATTGGTGCTACAGTATGCGTGCCCGGTCCCCACATCCTGATGAGCGCCGACAAACAAATTGGATTGTTGGTGTGTAAATCTGAAGCACTTTGATGAGTCGAAGGGGCAAATTGAATTCTCAACAATGTTAATCTGTATCAGCTCAATGGCTCCCCGCTCGACTCCCAGCTCTGCTGCTGCTGCCGCTTAAATCATTTGATTGTTCCCTGCTGTTTCAAGACACAATCTCTCTCTTGGCCATTTGCTGTGGCACCTAATCTGTTTTTGATGACCGTGTAGGGCTGTAGCTCTACATATGGGCAACTGAGGCTCCCTCTGGCCCACTCTGCCTGGAGCTTTCTCATTCCGTCGTTTTTATTTCCCCTCTCTCACACACGCCGGTGTAAACCCGTACAGTTGGCAGAGGGAGAGCGCTCTGATTGAGCCATCCGTGTGTGTTAATTCAGGAGATTACTCAGATGATTGGTCGTACTGATGGACCTCCTGTTTCCTCAGAAAAACATTCTGAGATAAGGCAGATGACGTGACGTCTCATATTTATCACTGGTGATTCACATGCGTCATATTTATGGCTTTTCATATAGCAAATTATCATCTGTGTGTTACTCCACCAGAATATAAAGTTCTTTATTCCCTGTGCACCGTATAAACCACCATAAATTACTGAAGATATTCATCATCTCACGTTCTAAGCATGTGTTGCCTGTGTGTCTTCACAGTTATCCATACAGTGAAGACAGCAGTCAGGGGAAGCAGTACATGAATACCAGATGCCCTGCCTGGTGTGATCGAATCCTCATGTCTCCGTCTGCCAGAGACCTGGTCCTGAAGGTATGGTGTTGAATGTTCTTATTTTCTTTGCCAAAATATTCTTTTTTGTTCTTTTACTAAACTGCACCATCCAATGAAATAAAAGACAAAAATAAACAGCAAAGGTCTTTCAATAGTCAGAAGTCCATCCCTTTTAGCTACAGTCAGTGATGCCGTACTGTAAACTCCTCGCTGCACCATGAGTTCCCACAAAACTTTTTCTTTGTTTACGTCTCCTTCTTTGTTTTTCCCCTCTGTTTACTTTGTTCTTTGCTACCCAAAATGCCCTGCTCTTCTCGTCACATTCTCTCTTCAGGTCGCTGGCTAGTTTATTTGCCTTTCCCACTGTAACCAGCACCAGGATTCAAATAAACAAAACCAAGGACTAATGTTTTCAGCCACAGTCCCTTCCCCACCTGCCCAGACGAAGCACAATTTCTGAGAGACCAAACTCCAGTCCAGTCAGAGCCAAACATAAATTAAAGTCATTAAACATGTACAGACCATATATCACTGTATCCATTTACCCAACAATGTTAAGGAAATAAGTATGGACTTGTTTTGTCCTTGTCTCAGACATCATGTGCTGAATCCCTCTTCCCTCTGTCACTTCACAGATGGAAGGATGAGGTAAATGAATATTTACTCAGAGCCATAAGCTGCGGGGGCCACCAAGCCAGTACATATATCCAATATTTATAGAGTTTGAGTGGCCCCTCATCTTCTTCATAAAACCACAGATTTGTGTGCTTTCCTCTGAGAGTGGAACCCTCAGCCCTCCCTCCCACCGTTGCACACTTTTGCCAATCTGCCTCCTCCATCTTCTCCCGTCCCACATCCTCAATCTGTTCACTCTGGTGTCTCCACGATAATGTCTTTGTACCGGAGTCAGTCAGCTAGCCTCCGAAGCTAACCACTTTAGCGGCCTTAAACTCACATCGTCAGCCAGTGAGCTGAGTTTTTATTTGTGTCACCAAAGGCTGTTTGAACCTGCAGGCTTTCATCTGTTAATGTGTGTAAGACAAATGCAGTATTTT